AGTCGCTGCCGTTCTTCTGTACTTAAATTCTAATTTATTTTATGTTGTTTAATATCAGTTCCTTTGATTGTATTGTGGATACATGCATAAACTGGCATACAGAGTAGCCTGGGGTAATTATGATCAGAGTAAAAAGTTTTCTTAGTATCCTTGAAGCTTTGCAGCTATTTTTCACCGGAAACAAGGGATATTTCACAGGTAGGTTAAGCCGAGTCTTACCTGTCGATCTACTATTTTTTATGGAGTAGTTATAATCAATTCGTGCAAATTACGCGGAATAAACAGAATTTGACGTGCGTCGATCCCCTAAAGTCGGCTCTTAGTCTACTTCAAGTGAAAACTGTCTTCAGAATATTATGATTAATTACATATGTAAAAAGCGGAAGAAAAACTCGTGTTTTTAGCGATTACTGTGCATAAATTTCTGTTTATTCCGCGTAATTTACACAGGTTGATCATAATTACCCCATAAAAAGATAGTAGAGTGATCATAATTACCCCAAAGCATATATATAGAAGAAAACGACTATCTCTTTTAATTTTCGTAATTCCTCATTAATTAATTCAGGTCTATTCCAAATGATGTGCAATTCACATGATAAATAGAGCAAAGAATTCTCTACAAAATGAACTTATTTTTAATCAGTTTACTTAAAATTCTCCGTTGAAACAAAGTTGTTTAATTTTATTCCAGCCATTTTGGTTGTGCTGATTATAATTACCCCTATGGTATACTTTGACTGATTATATTTGCCCCAAATGGTGTAATTATGATCAGTCATTATCTGCTCACTAGAAATTGATTGATACTAATTAACGCTAATGAACTTTAAGATAATTTTTACATCAATCGATAGGTAAGACTCAGCTCAACCTACCTGTGAAATATCCCTTTTTTTGGTGAAAAATAGCTGCAGAGCTTCAAGAATACTGAGAAAATTTGTTATCCTGATGATAATTACCCCAGGCTACTCCATACTTACAACGTATCCGTTATTTTAGAAAAGTATGAGTTTATATAATTTAAGGGAGGGGGATCCCCCATTTAGATTTTCTTCTAATGTTCCTAGTTTGTAGAGATACTTCGAAGTATATGTCCTGAAGTTTTCTCGGCTTGCTGACATTATCTGGCTGAGAAAAAAATTAATTACTTAAAAAAATATCCTTAAATTTGTGAACAAGGGACTATTATTAAAAAAGTTCCCGTCCATTCTCGATTCACTATAAAAACTTGGTTCTTCCCTAGATCGATAGAGAAATGTGTGGAGAATATTCACTACTAGAAAATATGTAAAAATGTTTGTTCTATCCTTCCTGTTATTGACTAATTGATACTAATTAACATTAATTTAGTCTAATCTACTAGTTTAAAGTCCTATTTATAGAATAACGACTCAACGAAAAAGTTTAAGTAATACCTCATCTGATAGAGAATTTCACGGGCTACAAGATAGGCCGTCATAGAAGTTTTAGAATTCATTTTTGGCTGGTGAATGTTTTAATAATAGCCCCGTGCTCAAAAATTTAACGATATTTTTTTAAGTAATTGATTTTTTTCTCAGCCAGCAAGCCGAAAAAACTTCAGGACATATAGTTCGAAGTATCCTCTATAAACTGGGTAGACTTGAAGAAAAAATTCAAAACTTGACGATATCGCTGATTTTGGGCTCAGCAAAGATTTTTTCAACTCACTTTTTTCTTTTTTGTTAAAGTTTTAAAATTTCGTATTTTTTAATTTAAAAACCAAAAAATGACAATTTAAAAAAACCTCTCGTTAGGGACTGCAGAACTCGATTCTGAACAATTTTTGTACCCTGAGTTTTGCTTCAAAATGCTTGCTTCGATCAAAGCTAGCCGGATTTATAGAGATTAATATTTTTTGTCGCATAGAAGTGTAGGTGATCCCAAGTGAATGTACTTGCATAGGTACCCGAGTTAGGTATCCTGCTTCAAGAATGTCATAGATGCTTGCAGGTAAAGTATTACTTAGCGGGTACCTAAATAGTCAGTCATTTTAAGTGATCGTGTGAAGATAAAAACACACGTTATTCTTGTAAACATATGTTTTTCTCTTATATATGTCTGAACGCGAAACAAAACGGTGAACCGAAAAATTTGGTACCTATGCTGCGTCCAGTGCAAGTAATTGGGTACCTTTCAAGTAAACATTTATTTGAAAAAAAATTCAAGCACCTATAACATTCATGTAGCAGGGCACCCGCATAGGAACCTAAGAAAAATGCAAGTGCTCGGATACCTTTTGTTAAGCACAACGAAAATTCAGCCATCAAGAGGTGACTTTCCAAGACATATAGATGTCTAGCTAACATCTAGCATAAAAAGGTAATTAAAATGCACCTCGAATAACTGCATTATGCAACTGTAGATGCATTTTTTGATCGTCATAAAGCCTTACCAAGGCATTTTTACTCGCAATGCAGAAAGATATGTCTTACCGAATGTGAATGCAGGCATATTTATTATATTTTATCTTTTGTTATCTGAGTTACGTAAATTTTTTAATATTGCCGTGAAGCATGCGTTCGTTAGAAACAATAGAGTTTACACTGCATAAACGTTATTCTAAATTTTAGTTTGTAGTATCTCAACGATTTCCAATAAATATGACTGATTCAAGAAAAATAACGATGAACGATCACAAGTATGGACTACAGCCGGTTGTGAAAAAACCCATCGTTACTTGGGACGTAGTGGTATCAAAGTTTCAAAAATTTGTCTTGGAACGATGACATTTGGTGAAATGCTAACCAACGAGGCTGTAATTATTTTGATCTATTAAACTTGAAACCAGAACAAGAGCACTGGCAGACTATTCGTTTAGATTCCTGTTGCAAGACCTGGTCAGACAAACGAAGCTGACAGCTACAAGTTATTAGATCGTTTTACTGAACTAGGAGGAAATTTCATTGATACTGCAAATTCGTATCCGATACCAGGATGGGATGTTCAGATATTGAGTACCTATTTGGAAGCGACAGTTGACGTTCTAATCCCAATAAAAATGTCAACAGGATAAGCACATGTAATAAAACGTTATAACTGAATTTTATTGACCGAGTGCTGGTAACTCTGAGACAATTATTGGTAATTGGCTTCAAAAGTATGAGAAAGATAATTAAAATATTTTCTTATTACACAAGTACATTATTCCCTCTCTATAAGCAAGATCGTGAAAGTGTTGTAATTGGCACAAAAGTTCGGATGCCTATGTCATCGACAAATCCGAACTCAGTTGGTTTATCAAGAAAGCATATCATAGCTAGTGTCGAAAATAGTTTAGAACGTCTGAAAACAAATTATATAGATTTACTGCAGGTACTATTCTTCCGTCGATTTGTACTTAAAAATTTTATTTAAGCGTAGATATTGGCCTCTCTTCTCTTAAGATTCATGCTTGGGATTCAGGAACACCTTTATTAGAGACATTGACTACTTTGAACGATTTGGTGAGGTGTGATCGGGGCTAAAACAATAAATCAGCTAGAAGAAAATAGGGTAACAATGAACGATTGGCATCTAACTGTAGACGAGGTAACTAAAATATAAGTTTGATCTGAAAGATTTCTTCTAATATTTTCATCTTTAGATGGCTGACCTTGATCATGTGTCGAAACTAGATTTCCCCTATTCGTATGATCTGATTAATAATTTAAATCGGTGGTTCTGTTCATCTATTATTTCATCATGCTAAGCCTGATCATCGTTTATCGACAATATAAGATGATCCATCGGTTTCAGTTATTCGAAATAGAGGAATTGAATTAGGGACGTAAACGATCTATGTTTGAAATATTGAATTAACAAGTCATTGAACAAGAAACATCAAATATTTAAATAATACAGGTTACTACTGCCTAAAAACTTTAATATATTCTTCAAACTTTAATAATATCACGTATACAATTTCTGGAGGAAATTTAGTACATAATGTGGGAATAAGATATTGTCAATGGTCGCTAACGATGCAATGTTTTTCCTTCGAATTAAAATTTGAAATCGTCAAAAAACAGTCGTTTAGTTAAATGTTCGATTCATCGACTTTGTGTTTGAGTCTTAATCATATTAGTAGTCAGTCAATCGTGCTAAGAGCTCACATTCGTTTAAAAAGACCACAGAGATCATTGATGTGAACCGAAAGTTTTAACATTATATGTTTTTAAATACTCAGTTCTATATATTATTTAATCGGAGAGCCATGATAGAAAAGACATACTTTTTGTTTTAGCCTCACACATGTCGTTTACCTTTTATCCATAAAATTTATTGCTCTGAATTTTAGCCGTTACACTCCAGAAAAAAATCTAGAGTTTTCGTTTCTTGCTGAACCTAAAAAATGTTCCAAATTTTGTAACCATATCAACGCCATTTATGATTCGAACGGAGTCGCTATATTTTTTGCTCAAAAATGATTTCGTTTTAATTTAAACGTCGTTTTAAAAAGAGATTAGACTAGCGCAACGGAAACTCCATTATCTCGCTACTGTAGATCCTATGACCGTATGTAAGTGCAAATAAAAGTAAAAAAGAAAAAAGGGGAAGAACAAGAAAGAGATCAGAATATTTTTTTCAAATAAGCCAACAAAGAACAGAGGTCAAAAAATCTCTGCGCGATAAGTTATATAAAACGCAGCACATATATAGAAATACAAACAGCAAAGATAGGAGAAATTTAATTACTATAAAAGCGTTATAAGGAAACAGCAGTTTATTATTAATAAACCTGAAAAAAGGATATACAAGCTGATTGATGATCGAAGTCTTTTGTCAGAAAACAATACAACGAAAAGTAAAAGTTTACAAATATAATAAATGTGTAGGTTTTCCATCTTGATAATGTCCTCGTAAATTTCTGCTCGTAGAAGAGCTCTTTTAGTTAAGTGTTCACAGTATTCTTTTAGCCTAGGTATTCTACTTTGTTGATGTATATATGTTCTAGATGTGTAGGGTAGAACTCCCAGTGCAGCTCGTAATGCTTTGTTCTAAAGTGTTTGAAGTTCTTGCCATATTTTGTGTTCTGCTTTTAGCAAGATTGATACACCAAATGTTAACACGGGTCTAATTAAAGATTTGAATAAGTTCACCATGATTCGATCATTCGATTCTGGAATTGATCGTGAAAGAAATCTCAACAGATTGATTTTGGAGTTGACCTTTTCTTTGACATGGTTCACATGTTCTTTCCACGAAAGTGTTTTGTCGTAAATCACCTCTAGATACCTTGCGTGTGCTTGTGGGCGAATAGTTGCTGCTCCCACAATGACTTGTACTTGATTTTTGTATTGTTTACGTCGGTGTACACTAAAGTGAAGCATTTCAGTTTTACTTGACTGTAAAGTCACCTTCGAGATTTCACACCAACGAGCGACAACATTCATGGATTCCTGAAGACGCCGGTTTAAACCAGAAGCAGTGTTACAGGATGTCCATAAAGCCGTATCGTCGGCAAAAAGTCCATGATCTGTGTAGAATGGCAATCCATCCATAGAATCAGCTGTAAACAAAATGTATAGCAGAGGAGAGGGTGGTGATCCTTGAGGAGTACCACTTTTCAGACCGAATGTTTGAGATAGCAGATTTTCCAGTTCAATTGCTGCCGTTCTTTCGCTGAGAAAAGATATCAACCAACGAATGATATAATCCGGCAGCTTCAGGTCGAATAATTTATAAATGAGTCCCTCATGCCATACGCTATCGAATGCTTGCTTGATATCAAAGAATATCACCGCAGAATGATTCATTTTGTTCAGATTATTGTTGGCAAAATTTTGTAATCTTAAAATGTTGTACAGTGTACTTTTTTCGGGCCGAAATCCAGCCTGATGGTGAGGTAGTATTTTTCTTTCTTCTAAGATTGACATGATACGATCTTTCATGATCCTTTCCAAAATCGTACCGACACAACTTAATAAACTGGTGGGACGGTCGCTAGAAGGATCTTCTTTTTTCTTCTTTGGTTTAAGTAATAGAATAATATACGCATGTTTCCATGCTTTTGGTACGTAACCGATGTTGATTGAAATGTTGAATAATTTAGTTAGACAAGCTACCAATGTTGGCGTGTAATTTTTAAGACATCTATTATGGACGTTATCCGGGCCAGGAGAGGTAGTTATCAGTCGTTTTAAATGCCAGATCACCTCGCTCTTGCTTATTTCCGGAATAGTTCTAAGTTTCTTCTTTAACAGATTATTCATTTGTGTCCGAGAGATGTTTGATACATGATGATGAAAAGGTAAAATATCTTGTTTTTCACTGTACACCTTCTGAGAAAAATAGTTGGCAAATATTTCTGATTTTTCTCTGTCAGTATAAGCTTTATGATTGTAGTATTTCAATATACCATTGTAAGATTGTTTAGTTTTTTTTATTGTGGTACTGTTTTACAACAGCTCACACTTTTCCAGTGTTCATCTCGCGCTTACACAGCACTTCAGTCAGTTTTTTAAATCTTGCAGATTTTTCATTTCTTAGGGCATTTTCTAACAGTAATTTTTGATTGTAATATAGTTTTTTGTTTTCGTGAAAATTAAATTTTTTCATTTTTCTGTAGAGTCTGTGTTTCTCCTTTAGGAGATGAACGGTTGCTTTACTTAATGTATAATTAATTTTTGTATTAGCAGGAGGAACAACTAGTTTAGCTGCTGACACGATGCTGTTCGTAATGAATGCATTGTATGCTTCCAAATCTGTTGGTGTGTAAATTAACCTGTTTTCATTCCATTGAGATAATAATTGGTTGAGTTCCTGCCTGTAAACGTTCCAACTTGCGGTCTTGTAATTCAGTGATAGACGGGGGCTCAGTGGCTTGACATTTGCGTCTAATGTAAGATTAAATATCATCGGTTTATGACCGCTTTTCATACCCATTGGGGGCTGAGTTTGCAAGGTCGTAATACAAAGAAAAGAACCCAATCCAACTTTTCCTCATACGAGTTACGCTCGTACGTTGTTATTACGTCTTCTACGCACGAAAATATGTTGTCTTCAAGAAGTTGTTGCCGCTGCCGACCTTTTCCGTTGATTTTTCTTGGTCCTTTACTGGATAGTGCAGCGTTTAGATCTCCGGCCACTAATGTAGCCGGATTTAGTCGATAGAGTTCATCAAATAAGTCGCGGTTTATTTTTGATTTTGGTGGAACGTACATGGATCAGATAAGGAGTTGTTGCTTTTTCATTTCTAATTGCACTGTGACGATTTCGTTTGATTTGTCCGTTTTATTAATCACTTCGTGACACCTAATGGTGTCGCGAATTGCTAAAAGTACGCCTCCGCCGCCTTTGTCAGGTCTATCATAGCGAAAAATGTTGAAATTTGGTAAAAAGAAAATGTGCTTGGCATCAAGGTCTGTCTCATTGAGTGATATCACATCGAAATCATAAAATCTGGCTATCAATTCCTCACGATGCTTTCTAGCTGATGTGAGATTGATGTGAACAATTTTCATTATCGAGTGGGATGAGTTCTATGGCGCTTTGCAACTGATGTTTGTGAGCCATTTGCACCTGTTGTGGCTGCACTCTGTCTCAATTTTAATTGTTGTTTTTCCTGAGTTGTTTTATGTTTCGGTTGAAATGAGTAAAGAGATTTCTCTACACTACTCGTATCAGTGGTTGTGGCTAGTAAACGCTTAGTTGTGCTAAGATTTTGGTTCATTACCTCGTAAAAGGTTTCTCTATCATCATTATTGTTAATCACTATAAAAGCGTTATGTTTTCTCAATGTAAGAAGGACAGATCTCATACAGTTTGAAAATGGTCCCCACTCATGCAGACAAGAAAAGTCGTTCGAGGGGTGCGGCTAGTACCCGAAAATAGCCTATCTCCGAAGGCTCAATCCGTCGAAAATGAGACTTCGGACTCTCAATATAAGTGTTCGAGGGATTATCAGTTTCGAGCCCTCGAATTTCAGATACGTGGCGGATCCTTGAGAAAAATTTTGAGCCATCGAACAGAGATGCTCGGGACTTTCGAGCTCTCGTCGCCCGAGGGCCATTTGTTTGCAATAAAGATCATAACTCAATTGAAGTCTATGCTAATTTGATAATAAATATTGTCAAACTCACGTGGAATATCATAAACACAATATTTGAAGATATGATTTTTCAAAGCATTTTTAAATGTAACTATGAATTTACTTTTCAAAACTAATTGAGGAAGGCTGTTCCATAGTTTAATTGTTGATACAATAAATTTTCTTTCAAATTTTGTTTGTTTTACGAAAATTGTTGATATTTTATTATTCGACGTTAGATCGAAACATCATTACAACGCATTTCTCAATGGTTAACAGTAATTTCCACTTAGAAGACCAGCTAGAAATACGTTCAGGTTCCAAATTTAACTGAATAGCAAGTTGATGAGGAACCGTACCATGTTGGTACAGTAATGTATGATCAGCAAGAAAAGCATGTAATTTAAGTGAGATCATTACTCAAGTTATCAGTGTATACTAAGAAGAAAAGTGAGTCTTGGAGCACACCGCTGTTTATTCTTCTAGAATGAGATGAATGGCCACGGACAATAGTAACTACTGATCGAGCCGCCAAGTAGCTCTTAAACCACTCGAGTAATTCTTCTCGAATGCCTTTTTCTCAAGTTTGCAAATGAGAGGTTTGTGTCAAACCATGTGGAAAGCTGTTCGAAAGTCAAGAAAAAACGGCTTCTAATTCATTACCTTCCTGTACATCCCGAGGAATGTTATGGAAAGTTCGATGAGTTGAGTGCAGAGTTGGAACCGGACCTGCCGGTTGAAAAGTTCAACCGGCCGGTTAACACCGGTGTTTTGCCGATTCTTTTACCAGTTTAACTACACTTCAACCGACCGGTTGCTGTCGGTTTCGAATCACAAGCGAAAGATGACTACTGTATAACAAAAGTTCGAGATGTCAACTGGAATCGCCCAAGGGAGGTTGAAAAAAGGCAGTAGATCCAAAAATGATCTATTAATTCATTTTACATTTGTCCTATCACTGGCGAATTTCGGATATAGATGAACACAGGTTAAAATTTTCTCTCATTATTTTCTTTTACATTTCGAAAACATTCGCCCGAAAACATTTCCTTCTTCATGAAATATTAGCTCGAAAAACAAGTTTTTTTTCTCCATTAAAACGTGATTAATCTATATTGTTTTTCCCACTGAGATTCATACACCATCAGAAATTAGTCCGCGAATTTTTCTTCGTTTCGTATTGGCTTGAACTTCGTGCTCAATACCTCACATTAATACCGAAATAACCATAACAGGAAGATTTTGAAAATACACAAGCTTAGCTTTCTGCAAAGAATTACTTTAATCTGCTTGACTTTAATCTGCTATGGAATCGACCGGTTTTTTACCGATTGAACTCCAAAACTGAACCGGTCGGTTTTTTTGCCGGTTT